AAAGATTACAGAAAATATTATGACGATGTTCCAATAGGGATTTTGTGGCTATAGATACATTTACGAAATACGAAGAAGAATTTTTTGTTATTTTTTTTATTATTTATTACACAATGATATATTACACAAACCAATAAGATTGTGCACAAAATAAAATAAAATAAAAAAAAAAACAGAAGAAAAAGATGAAGCTGCAATAACCCTTGAAATGCTAATTCAAACTATATGGTAAATTGATCTGTAGTAGGTATAATACAGAATCGATCATTCATCATCGAGCACTTGATATATTTGTATACTACACAATGAGGACTGAGAAATTGCAAAGGGAAATACAATTAAAAACTAGAAGAGATTTAATTACCTAAAAATAGTCCTCTTGGCTTTTCAAATACAGTCTAAGCAGGAACTCTTATCTACTGCATGACCTCTGTGTCACTCCTTAAATCAATCTCACACACTACTTTTCATTCTCCCAAAACCTGAATCGATAGGAAACCTCTCTAAGACCTGGAAAAACACAGTATGCTAAATATAATAAAAAAGGTTGGGATTAAACCAAGTTATAGAGGGATACACATTCAAACCAGTAATCATTATATTTTTGTGACAAATTCTAATATTTAATTCAATAATAGAATGAGTGAAGAAACGACACAGCCACAGGTTGGGCTAACCCACCATCTGCAATATATCATTGACCCAACTCATGGATCAAAGAGATAAAAATTACGTCGATGGTTGTATGTAGTGTTGTTGAAGGCAATGATTGTGGTGATTCTGAAGCCTGAGGACTGGTTCCTGGAAAGCACTGAACCCTTCCCATTTGTAGCCGGATTTTTACATCCTCAATAAGGAGATAGGTTGTTGAGTGACCAACCAAGCCTGAAAATTAGTGTTTCAGTGTAGGCAAGATTGGAAAGTGGAATATGTGATGAATGAAACAAAGGGAAAATGATTTCGTTGAATTCGTGGAATAGGTTTTACACACCAGATGAGAAGGCTAGGGCTGAGACATTGTGGGTACAATGAAATCTAGAAGGTGATGTTGGGGAGATTTTTTATTTATCACAAATTTCAATTCCAAGTTTATACACTCGAAATTTTCACACCCTTTGTCTGAAAACCTAGTACCAAACAAAAACTCATGATTAGATATGAACAACTGAACCAATAGAAATGTGGTGTGTTACTAAATAGTCGTTGATCATGTTTGCTTGATCTTAATGTGTCAACAAAAAGAGAATGATGTTTGAAATATGAATGATTTATTTCCCCCCGAAATATCCCTTTGTACTATGGTAAAAAAATTTAAAAATAATTTAAAAAAATTATTAACAAATCCAAACTAAACATCTATATACAGAGGATTATGGCAAAGCGCATTCAACTTGCTCTAAAAACCATATTATTTTAAAATATATGTTTTTCTCAATCATTGTAATATTTAACATTCTAACTCTATTCAGTCTAAATACCAACAAACAGAAATGATGACACTATCAAAACTACAGAACAGTAACAAAGATAGGGAACTTCTGGGTTTCCAAATCAATTTTAAATACCAAACACTGCAATAAATTTGATAAGCGTTGAAAATCAATTTATACAGCAGAAAAGCATAGGAAGCAATAGTTTGCAACCAAGACTAGAATATAGCACACTGCTGTTACCAACAATTGAAAAGCTGAAAGCCTCTGAAGATTTGTATATATAAAGCAATACTGCACCATCTCCTTAACTGGAGCGTTTCATGAGGTATGGCTACTAAAAGCATCCTAAATAGCACTGCTGTTACCGTGCAACAATTTCGATGAAGAAAAAAAACAGTTTTCTACGAGAGACATGAAGAAATTCTTAGAGGATTTTCATTTTTGTAAGAAAGAAAAATTCAGGCCACGGACACAAAAAATAATGATCATCATAATTATTCTTTTGTATGCAAACCACTATTATACAAGGTGTAAACTAATTCTAAAGATATAATCTAACTGCACTCACTCAAAAAAAAGTGTTCTTATCCCAACAGATTAATTTTGTTTGGTTTGTTTTTCTTGTTTTCAGAATAAAATAATAATAAAAAGTTTGAAAACATCCATCGTTTCCTTCATTTGTGCGAAAACAGCTTTCGAAAATTTAAAAACTATTTTTTAGTGTTTCTTTACTAAAAACAAGTTTTCTATATTTTTCGAAATATGAAAACAGAAAAATGAAAATGATGCCAAACAGATTTAAAGTTTATTCCATAGAAAATGTACTAGTAGAATTGCAATATTTTCTCTCATGTATACAACAAATTTCACGAGTACCACCAAGAATACATAAACTGGTACATCCCACTGATATTGCAAATGCACAAGTGTCTCTACTTACAGAAAATAAATGAAAGGCAGCATGGAAAAATACCCAATGACGAACTTTATAATGAAGATGCTGAGAATACTAGTCAGGGTGCTAACCGATCAATTTTCCATACTCTTTTTCCGTCAATCATTTCAGGGGAATATCGTATCCTGTCAAAGGAATGAAATTGTATATTACCAGTGGTATTCACCATCATGTACAGAAACAATAGTTACCTGAATCAAATAAAAAACTTACAAAGAAATGGTTGATTATGCAAAATGTGCTTATATATTTTGTTTGTAACATCTTTCCAACACCAAACATCATTTGCAATTAACACGCATTAAAATATGATCTGAAAATGAATGAAAAGATAAACTTAAATAATGGGACAGAATAAGGAACTTTTCAAGCTAGATTCCAAAATGCTAAATTTCATCAAAAAGTGTGTGAAAATCAAATAGGCTAAATTCCTGTCTATCCTGAGCTTGTACAACTTCGAAGGCAGCACAAATTCATGCCCAATCATATGCAATCATAGGTCACAAATCATGAGCTTCAGGAGGAAAGTCCTCACTTCTCTCTCTCCTCCCCTGCTTCTTGTTTTCTCACTCTTGAATCTCAAATAAAAGAAAATTGAAGTACCAAGAAACCCGGAGGTCCTGTGCCACTACCACCATTGCTGCCATCAACTCCAGCTACACCGGCAAAACAACATAAATTAACTAACACTTTCTAATATACACAAATAAATATATGTATCTATAAATATATATGTGGGGTGTATTTGCAAAGCATGACTGTAATATCGGAAAAATTCTTCAATTTGGCCCTCAGAATATGGTTGGTTTTATAGTCTTCATCACATCAACAATCAAAATCTCTCTTTGAAGCATGGATTTAAAGATTAGAAGAGGTATTGTCAAAAGAATTAGCATGACATGATATGCATTAGAGTATGAACCATTTTTTCTCCCAGATGAAGAATGTGGCTCATACATCATAACTTTTTCAAGTAAATGAATAAACTACTCATCTTTGTGATATCATATGTTTCATAAATTGGCAAATGAGGGTATGATGTCAATACGGCTTCATTAATTCATAAACAATTTTAAAATTATAGTTTTTTTAACAATTCTCTAGTTTGAATACTTTTAGTTACTCATAATATTGGAAGGTATGCACATAAAAGTAGTAATACTTTGACCGTAAAGGATGATATTCTCCTGCTTTGCGCCATAGCTTTCCTCAAGACATTTATATGCAGCCTCAATATCTGCGTAGGTATTCTGCTCACTTGGCTGCAACACAGGGAAGGCATGAGCTGTAGATGACACTTTTAGGCACTACAAGTCGCACCATATAACTTAATTAACAAGAAACTGTTATGTAGAAAAAAAATTCAATTGTCACACACCTTCCCGGAAGACTGTCTGTACCCGAAATAGTCATACCTGCACAAAGTTAAATGCTTAAATAAACTTCTTTATATTAGCAGATGTATATGACTAAAATTAGCAAATCTTTCATATGCAATAAGAAATCCCAACCATCAGTTAATCAAACATTCACATTTATTAGTCCTTTTAACATATAAGGCTTTGTCTCAACAAAGAAATCCCAAGCATTAAAGGTATCCCTTAAACAAAGATTAATTCCTTTTCGATAATCATGCAATCCAAAAAAAAAATAAAAGAACAACAAAAATCTGTAGGAAAAGATCATCATAACAATCCACCAAATCAGGTATTAAACTTAAGAAAACCCAATATATAAAGAAAATACACCAAAGCATCGATTTTTATTATTTGATGAGCATAACCCTCCACCAAACCCAATAAAATAAATAGGTTAATTAACAAAATTACAAGAAATCCCAAGAACACTCAATTGATTTCGTTGCTCATAGAAAAAGAAAAAAAAAATCAGATTAAAACAGAAGCACCAATAGAATCGAAATCACCATCAAAAGACAGAGTAGCAGAAAGAGAATCGGAATCGAAAAGCAAAATAAAAAGATAGAGGAAGTGTGTACCGATCTGGAAGATTGATTCAAAACTAGGAAATCGAAAATCTGATTCCACATTCTCTCTCTCTCTTGAAGCGATTGAGAGAGTGTGAATTACGCTTTTATAGCTTGAAGGAGTAGCCATGACGAGTCTCAAGGGGCTCTAAAACCCTAGAGCTCCAATCAAACCCTAGATCGGCAATGCAGTGGCGACTCCATCGTCATCGTCCTCCTCATCATTCACGCTCTCCTCTGAACTGTCCTCACCATCATCTTCTCTATTACTCCTGTGAATCAACCTATCTCCTCTCTTGCTCCGACTCGATCGATCTCGATCCCCGTCCCTGTCTCGATCTCGAATTAGATCTGAACAAGTAATGGAAATCGAACCTGGTGAATCTCTCAAGGAGAATGAGGAGAGACAGAGAAAACCCTAGATCTAGATCTTGGACGGTGAGAGAAAACGAGAAGAGAAAGAAATGAAGACTGAAGGAGACGGAGCTCTGTTATAAAGTGGAAGTGTGTTTAACGCGTGTCTTTTAATTTAACTTTAGGTCTTTCACAGCGTTTTTCAAAAAACGTTGTCTAAGAAACGTGGTTATAGGCAATTTTTGTTGTAGTGCATGCACTCACCAATTCCACAAGTAAGTAATATCTAGAATATGCCAAAGTCCAAGCACATTTTATCCAATAAAAGATGACCACCAACTGCACCCCACCCCACTCCACCCCAAGTTAAATGCACAGACTAGTTTTTGCTCCTTTCACTTAAACTAATAAAGGGACGACATGAAATCCTCATAGGCAACCACCTTCACAATGCTATAGACAAAGAAAATGAGGAAGATTAATGCTTTAGCAAACAGACAGAGAATATTAGTTAATCAAGTCGAGCATGATGACTACTTAGATTCTTTGTATTCCTCAAGCTTATCCTAAAAAATTAGGGGTAATTATCTGTCACAAACCATAATGACCTTTGCCAGCCGTTAGATTCTTTGTATTCCTCCTCATCCTTGTCCTAAAAATAAAGGGTAATTAGCTGTCACAAGCCATAATGACACCTTTACAAGTCATTACAACTCTATATCAACCATTGCATATGTGAATTTTATCACAACTCGTCACAAGAACTTGGATTGACACAATTTCAGGTGTCTCCTACTTATCAAAGATGTGTGCTTAGGTAGAAGTCTTGTAAGCAAGGTAAAACTATGTTGATTATATAATACTGTGGGATATCATCACCCCATGTGAGGGGTGAAGCCAACACACATGAGTTGGCCATGTTAGGAAGCCAACCTTTAGCCATGTGAATAAGGAGTTGGCACAAGTTGGCCATGTGCTGGCCAGCCCCTCCATCCACTATTCTGAAGTGTATAAATGAAGATGGGTGAAAGGAGAACAGAGAGAGAAAGCAGAGCAGAGCAAGCCACAGAGAGTGAGATATGTGAGGCGGAGAGACCGTCTCCCTCGGTGTGAGCGAGGGAGACGGGTGAGTGGGTGAGTGAGGAGAGTGTGAGCTCCTCCTCTATTGTAATCTTTCTGTAATATCTCCAATGTTATAGTGATAACCGACTACTCTCCCGTGGACGTAGGCATTGAGGCCGAACCACGTTAAATATTGTGTCTTCGGGTGTGTGGGTGTGTTTTTCTGCATGGAATAATTTCTATAAGGTCTTGGGCGGGATCCCAGATCCCAACAAGTGGTATCAGAGCCTCGTTGGTGGCGTTTCGGAACAAAAACAGCGTGTTGTTTGAAACTGCCCAGAAATCAAGTTGCTCGAAATCAGGTTTTGAGCATACCAGGAGCAAGGGCTCGAGAAGAGGAGTCCAACCATGTAAAGACGATATCCAGAGGAGTCCCCACGCGCCCTCACGCGCCCCCTGAAGAAGGCGCGTGAGGCCCAGTCTCTGCACGCGCCCTCACGCGCCGTGAAGGCAGTTGGCGCGTTGGACCAGTCTCACCCACGCGCCCCACGCACAGACGAATGAAGAAGACGAGTGGGAGTAGCGCGTGTCCACCACGCACATGCCATGTCAGCGTGCTACGTCGTCAACACGTGGCGACACGTCAGCAAAGGTATGCCACGTGTCTGCCCCGTCAACCAGAGGCAGGGAGGGATCCAGTGCTACGCGGCAATGGTGCAACCGCAGGAGGAAAGATCCAGTGCTTTGCGGCGAAGGTACAGCCGCAGATTTGAGGCCTACAAAATGTTTTGGCTAGATCGAAGCCATTTGGAGTCCGTTTTTGGTGATCCAATAGTGGTTTCCGACTATTTGGAGTATTCCGGACACATCCGTACGGTCAGATTTTGGAGACGGAGTTTCTGTAAAAAGAAGGCAGATAAAAGAGACGAACGGCATCAGTGCAGTGGACGGAATATTCTGTTAGTACACGGAATATTCCCTAAACTTCTGAAAATTACAATTTGGCCTAGAATTTTCAGAAAATTGTGGTGTGGCCCAACTTTTGGGGAGAATTTTTCAGTGAGGTCCCTGGAAGTGCAGCGAAGGTTGGTCCTAGCTAAACGGACCGCTCCGGACGCAACTACGAGGTCAAAATAGTGAAATTCTAAATGGTTTTGAAAGATTGTCAAAACATGGGTGTTTGTCATCTTCAATAGTCGAAGGAAGGTTGCCGGATATTGTGGAACGCTGCGGATTCACTGAAGAGGTTAGAATGGGCAGATTCTGACCAGATTGGACAACCAGATATAGATTGAGATAGATCATTGAAGACCAGAGGAGATCAGGCTTGATCAAATGGCAGATCGAGGGAGATCAGGATTGGTCAGAGGCGATCAGAGGATTGCAGACATGATTATCTCAAAGGTCTATGAAAGTTCTGTCAAAAAGACACTGTCTAAGGAGACTGGTTCTTAAGTGGGACCGGTTGTGACCCCACCAGTCTTTCCTGGGAACTTTCCTGGTTGTTGAGGTATTTGGAGGATCTGGTTCAATTAGAAGAGAAGACCATTCATCGACGGATAGATGATTTGGCAACAAGCCAAAGAGAAGGCTAAGGGACACGGAGGTCCCTCAACTACAGCAGTTGTAGTGAATTTCTCTGACGATGAAGAGGTGATAGAGAAATGTTGCAAGGCAAATTGTGCAACAAACTGTACAGACTGGAAGGAGAAGTTTTGACAAAGATGAGTGTTGTCAAATGCCAGTTGAAGGGTACAAAGAGAGAACATACGCAACCAATGCGTATGATTGAGCAAGGCTTTCATCAGGAATGGCGAAAACGGTGCACGGGAACGCAAGGAGGCAGTTCAAAGGTGCACAGATCTGAGCCAGTGAAGCCAATCTTGAAGAAAGTTCAAAGCAAAGAAACCAAGTCTGTAGAGACTATGCCAGTGAAGAAGAGAGTTTCTTTTGCTTCCGTGTTAGAGACATTTTGCAACCTCTCAAAAGATGCATGGTAGGGAGGGATGCAATCTCGAGTCGCAAAGTGAGCTTTGGAATGCACTCCAATAAGGGGGTGCAAGCACTATGCACGGAGTTGCATAGTGGTAACTTGTACAGACCGGTGGAAGTTGTTTAGGCAGAAGGGCTAACTGTCAAACATCAATACAGACGTACAAGTGAGACAGAACCGAACATCAGGGATTGCAGCACAGACAACGGGCGTATGAGATCGCTGGGAAGTTGTTCTGAAGTGCAGAAAACAAAGGCTGGTTGTTCAGAAATAAGCTCCGAGCAAGGAAAATTGAGGATGTTGATGTGTCAAACTCTGAAGTTTTCTAGTTGCTCCAGTGTTCATCATGCAAGGAGTTGCACGGTAATGCAAGGGTATCCCGAGCAGGGGGTGCAGGACATCCAATCAGGGGGTGTCGGATATCTTGGTTGCGCAAGTTCAAGCATAGCAGGTATAGACATCCGAGACAGAAGCGTGGAAGAGATCTGTAGGAGATAGGAGCAGCGGTTCTCTCCAAATCAGAGAGTGGTGTGAGTTGAGTTGAGGATGTAGGATTCCCTCCTCCTCTTGTATCTCTGGTGTATTATCTCTAGCTTTCAAGGGATGCAGCGTCTCAGTGAGAAGATGCAAACTGTGTTTGGGCGTGACAAGATTAGCAGCAATGTGTGTTGTGGATCACCTCACAGGGGTTGAGGGGGTGATTTGTGGGATATTATCACCCCATGTGAGGGGTGAAGCCAACACACATGAGTTGGCCATGTTAGGAAGCCAACCTTTAGCCATGTGAAGAAGGAGTTTGCACAAGCTGGCCATGTGCTGGCCAGCCCCTCCATCCACCATTCTGAAGTGTATAAATGAAGATGGGTGAGAGGAGAACAGAGAGAGAGAGAGAGCAGAGCAAGCCACAAAGAGTGAGATATGTGAGGCGGAGAGACCGTCTCCCTCGGTGTGAGCGAGGGAGACGGGTGAGTGGGTGAGTGAGGAGAGTGTGAGCACCTCCT